AGTACGTCGGCGTTGGCCGCCACCAGCCGTACGACAATGTCCTCGCGGCCCGTGTAGGCGGCCTTATGCAGGGCTGTGTCGCCCGTTTCGTTCACTATATTCACGTCGGCGTTGTTCTACATGTTATGCGAATGGGAAATATGGTTATTATTTGAGAGATTATGATAAGTTTTGTTAGCGATTGAGTGTGCGTGTACGATTGTGTCATTTCTAATTAAATTTTTTAATTAGTTTAATTAAAATCTAATTAATAATTCTTTTATATAATTGCCTCATAATATGCACAGTATGTGTAATTCGATGCCATTTTTAATGGCATTTCAAACAATTTAGTGCAAGAAATCTTTGTTTATATAAATGTTTATCTAATTAATTAATTAAATAAATATTATAAAATTACTAAAAATAGATAACAAGTAAATAGTAATCCATATAAAAAATAACAGAATATTCTGTGCACATATCATGTGTACATTATACCAAGAATTCACTGTAACGGTACATGTAATGCAATTTAAAAACACATGTGATATGAAAACATATCAATGTCTAAAAGTAATTATTTATATTTTATATAATGTATTAATTTCAACGAATTGTACGTAACGTTAATGTTATGCCAAAATTGAGTCTCATTTTTAAAATACAGTAAAATTTACTGCAAAATAGATTTAAATAGCGATTAAAAATAACCTATTGTTTATATAAATCAATAAACTCTACAAATAAATTGCAAAACAATTTAATTAAAACAATGTTTTCTAACTTTTTATGGCTTCAAATCAATAAAAACGAGAGTAAAATCAATAGTTGTTTTGCGGATCAGATATTTGATAACAAAACAAAAAATCAATGAATTATTTAATAATAAAAAAGAAAATCATATGAAATAATCTATAAACCAAACACTCAATGATATGACACAATCAACGACTGATTCCCACAAACAAAGCAAACAATCATTTGATTGACAAAAACAAAGAGAACAGAAAACAAAGACAATTAATGGACAATCAATTGTCACTGCAATTACTTGAAGCAGTTCTTCGATGACATTAAAGTGTCCGAAATACGCGGCCAAATGTATTGGACTCCAGCCGTAGTTACTCTTCTGTTTGCCTGTATTCATAACAGAGATAACAAATTATAAGACATTCCTCATGAGTACGAGAGACATAAGACACGAGATCTTATTATTCAATACATAGACAAACAATACTATGACAAGTGGTGATCACTGGATCCGTTACCTTTGCAATTAAGATCCAATTCAATCTCGTTCTTCGTGGCCAATAGTATGAGCTTTTCGACCACTTTGAGATTCCCGGTGCGCGAGTGGTACAGCAAAAACTCTTCGGGCGTATCGAAGTCGAAGCCATCGATGGTCTCCGACTGGAGATTGTTATTGTCTTTAGCCATCTCTTCGTCGATGTCACTGTCGGTCACTTCCAGTATTGACTTTCTATCGGCGTTTTGATCGCTGGCGGCGGCCGTGGAAGCGGTGGCCGACGTCGACGACGATCGTCGAGTAGGTGTGGCGACAGTCGCACCGCCGCTGGCCGTCGGTGTTGTCGACGGCGACGGTGTTGTCGCGCTCTTCGGTGTGGACTTCGATGGCGTACTCTTCTTCGGTAAAGGCATCGGTGATGTAGACATCATTACCACTGATGATCCGCTCTCACCAGTGGTCTGATCGCAGGCCTGAGACACAATTGATTAGCCAATCAGTGGCCACGTTATGTGTGGTGTCTCTTGAGATAACAAACGGTATATTCTTCGGTGGTATCGATGGATGGGTTAAGACATACGCGACCACCACTGGGTCTGCGGCGGATGATCACAATCAGTGGATCAGTTGGCGGGTGACTATGGGATGGGAAATAAAACATATGATTATTATTATTGATTACAATTAATATTACAATTAATTAATTGTCAAAATAATAACAGTTTTTTTGTTTTGGTAATAATTTTTTTGTAAACAAGTTGACTAAATAAATAAAATAACTACCACGGTGCAATCAAACGATGCGTGTTACCTTGTTGATTTAATTAACAAACAATTTATAACTAAACTTAATTAAATCACTTTTTTAATCACAATTACAAAACAACTGACAATTCATTTAACGTTGAGTTTCATTGAGAGAGTGAATAAAAATCGACACAAACTTTGCGTTTGATTTTCACATTCAAAACACAAATCAAAACACTTAACACTCAATACTATTGAGTCAATACAACTCCCCCTAAATATGACATAACATTTGTCCACAAATAACGTTACGTTTATATCAGTAAATATAGTACCCTTTTATACTATTTCTATCAAGCATATAGTGTTAATAATCTAACGTTATTTATGGTTATCCAAAAGCATATGATCAGTCTATTTCACTCCCCCTTATGATTGCGCTCCCAATTACTGCCCCCTTAAATGCCACCCCCTTTGCGAACAAATGACCTTGGCTGTTGCTGTTTTGTACAGTGCATATGAGTCTAGCCATTAATATTGTTGACATTTCATGCGTTCAATGCTGTGATAATGTCTACACAAATTGATTGACAACCAGACTCTGGTTAAGTGTGTGTTTTGTGCACTGCATTTGCATTGCATAATGTGTTCATAAATACCGTAATCATCACTAAAATTGTCGCTCCCGTTGTATTTGCATTTTTTGTTTAATCATGTTTAGATTGAATTTATTTTGGCTATATCATTCAATCTCCCAATCCAGCTCATCTCGACACCCCCTCCCCCTTATATTTGATATCAATATAACCTCCCGTTTATGTTATGGTCCATAACTTATGGTTGTTTTGTTATTGGTTACGTTGTTTACGAACAGCTCTTCTTTCACGTTACGGTAGACTTTCATCACATTTTTTCTGCACTCAAATCGTAAACAAATAATTGAAACGCGAATTAAAAGTGAGTTTTAATTCAGTATTTAATTAATTAATTATACATTTAATTGTTTTGATTTGTTTTGACAGACAATGGTTTTGAACGCCAGACAAGCCGTACGCCAATTGAGCCGTTTGTTTGCCAACACAACTAATCTGTAAGTAATCGTAAAGTTTGTTATGTTTTGTTGTATTGTTTTTGTTAGTGTACTTCCGATATAGTGAACCCATATTTGTTTGGTGTATATATGCGTGTATTGTGTGTATAATGTATTTTATTTTGTTACAGACCCGTCAGGTGTATGTCCGACGGAGGATTTGGCAGTGGGGCCGGAAAGGTATGCCTCACCCGCGCCCACCCGTGCGACACCACCCGGTGCTCCCCCTGTCTCGGCCTTATGCGGCCAATTGTATAGTGAATTATACGCGCATATAATCAATATAACTCTTTGTGTACACTATATGTAAATGATTGTTGACATACGCCAGGTATAGCCGCCACTGTGAGGTACCCAACGGGCGCACATACCACTCAGGTGTGTGCGTGTATTACCTAAAGTTTTGGGGGTTAAGCCACCGGTTTCTAATATGTATAGTGTTTATTGTTGATTATACATTGGTATACACTATACATGAGAGCGCGAGCACCGGATAGTGTACACTAATGAGCACTTGATTGTGTTACGCAATGACAGATCCAGTGGTGTGTCTGTGATTATGGTGTTTATAATTGATTGTCTCTCTGTATTGGTGTTGTGTTACCACCGATGGATAGGGCGGAGGGTCGGGCGGATCCATTCGTGACGCCGGCGGCGCGTTCGGCAAACAAGAGGCCGCCCGCGAAGAGGAGTTCTTCCGCCGCAAACAGAAGGAACAGTTGGAGAAATTGAAGTCCGGTTTGGATGGAGAGAAGGAACGGCTCGAGAAGCTCATCAAAGATCACGAACAGGAGATCCAGAAGCTCCAGAAGTTGCAAAAAGATGGCAAATAGCAGATAATGGGATGTTTGCTGACAGACACGAGTCGGGAGTTTATTAGTTTTGATTGTAATAACCATTTATTTGCCATTTAATTGATTATTGAATTTGTTTTGTTAGTTATTTTAATTGAATGATTAAATTTCAATTCATTTATTGTAATAATAGTAAACAGTAATGAAATTTAGAATAAATTAGTGTTTGA